GGCGGCTGCAAATCTGTGCCCTCAGAGAGCACGGGGGGCGGCACGGCGTGGCTCGGGGGAAACCAGTGGCGAGAACCACGGGGAGGGAGGGAGAACGAAAGCAGGAGAGGGGAAGCTGATCTCGGATGGAGGGGGGTGGAGGGGAGGAGGTAGCGAATAAGAAGGATCATGGGATGTTGATGGGGGTCGGCGGGGTGAGGAGGAGGTACGAGGGGGCCGGAGCACGAGGGCCAAGACGAGGGAGCAGGAAGGACGGGTAATGAGTGAGACGGGTGAGGGGATGAGAGACTAGTGAATGATGGGTACAAGAGTACGGATGAGAGAGGAACGTATGCACGAGGCGAGCGAAGCGGGATGCAATTTGAATGAAGAGTTTGGGAGTTTTGGGCGAGCAGGGAGGGTTGCAGCGCAGAGGAGGGAGGTGGGAAGAGAAGTCAGGAGTACGCGAGAGAGTAAGAACAAGATGCTGAAGGGACGATCGGTGCGGAGGATGGAAGGATGGAGGGTGGTGGAGGGACGGAGAGGGCGAAGGAGGAGGTGGAGGTGGAGGAGAGAGGGGAGGACGATGCGGAGGGGAGGGAGGGAGGGAGGGAGGGGCAGGAAGGACGGGGGAGGAGGCAGAGGCCCGGATGAGAAGGAGTGAAAGGAGGAGGAGGTGTAGGAGGAAGAGGGGGAGGAGGAGGAGGAGGAGGAAGGGAATATCAGGTGAGAGGGAATCCGTGAGGGAGAAAGTGGAGCGTCAGGCGGAGGATCAGGAGGTTCAAACGGATGAAGCGGGTGGATGAGGAAGAAGAGGGGGGGGACGAAGAACAAGAGACGAAGTATGAGGCGGATGGGGGTGGACGGAGAGTTGGGTCAATGAGGATGGCCACGATAAAGAGGATGAGGAGGATAATATCGAGGAGGAGGAAGAGGAGGCCTTCGAGGACGAGGATGAAGGAGGGGGATGAGGATAAGAAGTTTGATGCCAGAGTGCGATCATGAGTGGCGGACAAGGAGGATAAGTAAGACGATAGTGATGTTGGGCAAGTAGGGGGAGGAAGACGATGTGGAGCAAACAGGACGATCAGGTGCTAGAGAAGGGAGGGAGGGAGGAATTGTTACAAGGAGGATATTGTGAGATGGATGGCGAGAGGAGGAGGAGTGGAGCAGAATGACGAGGACTAAGAAGACGAGGACGATGAGAACGAGCACGCGGGAGATGATGATGAGGAGGATTTGGTATGGGAGGAGGGAGGGCAGGAGGAGGAGGAGGAGGAGGGCGACGACGACGTCGACAGCGATGGGTATATGGGGAGGTAGCAGGTACGCTGCAGCTCTTGGAGTCCCAGCGTGCCACGAGAAAGAGCGGGTGCGCAAGATGGCCTCGGGGGTGCAGGCGTGGTTTTCCAGCGTGCTTTCTTTCATTATTGGAGCACGTACTCCGAACCGTGATCTCGGCGTTTCTTCGTTGGCCCCGCGCATTGGTATGTCGCGCCCAGCGCATTCGAGCTGCCAAGGGCGGCGACAGCATCCCTGGGCGGTTGTGCAGTTTGCGATTGGCGTAGCATCGGCATGGGGACGTAAACAATGCGGACGAAGCTCGATCGCAGTTTTAGACCCGTTCGAATCAGATTCACGGTCGGTTTAGCCGCCGACGTGTTCAAGTATTAACGCTTCTCGCATCCACACCAGCAGCCTTTTCAGAAACCCTGCCCATGAGAGCGTACGGGAAAAGGGACGAATAGACACATATAGTGAAGCAAAGCTGGCAACCAGTATGATCAGAGAGATTTTTGGGAGCAAGCCTCCTCGGTCCATCCCTACGGCCCGCAGGGAGGAGGAGGAGGAGGAGGAGGAGGAGGAGGAGGAGGAGGAGGATGAGGAGGAGCCCCGCCTCTTAGGACGCTATGTGGGCTCTCTTGAGCGCTCTTGGGGCCCTTTGGGGGTCCTCTTGGGGCTCTGTTGGGACCTGTTTGGGGGCCTTGTAGGGCCTCTGGGGGCCATCTTGTAGGCCATTGATGAAAAAAGGGAGGCTCTCTACCTAGGTCCCCCCATGCTGGTGCCCTCCAAATCGCATCTTGGGGACCTCTTGGGGCGCTCTTGGACGGTCTTGGGGCCGTCTGGGGCGCCTCCTGAGCCCCTCTTGGAGCTCGATTGGGCCATCTTATGGTAGCTTTGGGGCCTCAAACGCGCATCGGAAGCGAAACGACAAGAAGTCACTCATCGTTGATTTCTTCAGGTGTTCGAAGGCGTGCTCTCGAGGAGGTCCCGAGGGGGCTCCGAGAGCGGTTGGAACCGTGTTGTGGCCCTCGCTGGACCCATTGGAGGCACGTCGGAAGCTGTGTCGAACAATTTTCGGCTATCTTGAGCCGCCTTTGGAGCATCGGAGGCCCTCCTGGAGCCACCTCTGACACATCGCGGCCCCCCCAACCAGAAGCCCAGGGCGAGGAGAGGGAAGGTGCTCCTCCCCAAAGGGACGAGGGCTCTGGAGAAGGAAAGCAAGATATCGTCAAATCACCGACGCCCAAAGGGCGGGTGGGATTTGGGACGAACGTTGACTGCCCAACAGCGGCGGCTGTCGGCTTGGGACAAGGTGGGAATAGCCGCTCCTCCCGTCCCCGTTTCGGCCGTGCTCAGTGTACCCAACACGTCAGGATATACCAGCATCGCATCGTCGCACGTCCACGCATCGCAAGCGCCAGCTCCACGTGAGGTTGCCCAGACCAGGCAACAAACAACGGTTAACAGTGGACGGCGTTTATCAGTTGTTTGTTTGCTGCCTATTTCACGCAATGGCTCTCGCACTTCCTCCTGTATGTACTACACATATTCCCTCACACCGGAAGCTCGCTCGAACATTGGTCTTGGTGTGCGCCGCCTCGGAGGCAGCGCATATGCTATGCTTGCTGTGGTGAAGGCGCGGTTGTTGACAGGATAATCCGACGAATTCGATGAGTTCATATCGCTCGCCTTTTGTCGCTTGGTGCAGGGAGCGTGCGGAGCGCACGGGGTCGAAAGGCAAGGAGGACCCATAGGATGGCGGGTGGATTGCCTGCATTTGGAGCTTGGCAGTTCCCATCCTTAATTATTCCACCTTCACAGGTCGGTTCGGCGGCATTTTGGGACCACGGTCGGAGTCCATACCATACTCAGCCCACGGGCCCACTGCAGGTTGGTGTTGCTTTGCACTTGTATTGCGAAGGCCTCACGGCCGGTGCCGCCGACCCTGGAGGGCGACCCATGCGTTCTCTAATGTGGCGGGGGGGGCCTCTTGGGGGTATCTTTGGGTCTCGTGTGGGGGGGGGTCGTGTTGGGGCCGTTGTTGGCAATCGTGAGGCTTTCTCGGGAGCGTCTTTGGCCGACGACGACGACGACGATGTTGACGTGGGTCAGAGTCTTCAGGGATGCTTTTTGAGTCTCTTCGGAGCGCTCTCGGGGGCCCTCTGAAGACTAGTTTTGGGGCCTCTTGGGAGCATCTTGGCAGCCTCTTTGGAGCCTCTTGGGAACGTGTTGGGAAGCTCCTATGGGCCTCTTGGGGCTTCCTGGGGGCCTCTTGGGGGTTTCGTGGTGGCCTCTTGGGGGCATCTTGAGGCTTCCTGGGAGCCTCTGTCGCCGAGGGCTCGTCGGGCGCCGTCTGGGCACCCTGTTGGAGCCGTTTGGGGAGCCTCTGGGGCCATCTTGGAGGCATCTTGGGCGGTCTTGAGGCTCTCTTGGGTCATTTTGGGGCTCTCCTGAGGCCTCTTGGGCTATCTTGGGGCAATCTTGGGGGCATCTGGGGCCGTCTTGGAGCGTCGGCAAGTTGAACCGCCGAGAACGCCAAAATCTGTCAAAAACTTTAAGGGAATCATTGATTTTTCCCTCTTCGTGCCCTCTTGGGAGTGCTCTTGGAGACTTCTTGGAGCGTCTTGGCAATCTCTTGGGCCGTCTGGAGGCTACTTTGGCGTCTTCGACCGATGGTTCGGCGATTCGGGGCCCTCTGGAGCCGTCTTGGAAGCCTCTTGGGGCACTCTTGGCCAGTCTGGGGGCTTTTCTAGGTCCCGGGACATCCCGGGGGGGATGCGTATCTGCCCCCCCCCCCCCCCCCGGGACCCCCCCCGGGACCCCCCCCCCCCCCGGCGGGGAAGGGATCAAAGGGAAGGGGCTTCCCTTCGACTCAGCTACGACGTTGCTCAATTTCGCTTTGCCTTCGACTCAGCTACGACGTTGCTCGATTTCGCTTTGGTTTCGCTTTGGCTGGCGCGCCTGAGGGGAGGGCGACGACGACGACGACGACGACGACGACGAACGGAAGAGCATCGACGACGACGACGACGACGACGACGACGACGACGACGGCGACGACGACGACGACGGCGGCGGCGACGACGACGACGACGACGACGACGACGACGACGTTCACGACGAACGGAAAAGCATCTTCCACACGCCGACAGGGTCGGCGGATTTCGCGTTGCGTATGGCTGTTCCAGCTCGAGCTCAGGACTCCGCGTGTGGGTTGGGAGTTGTTTGGAGAGGATCTGGGAGCGAGTGGTGCCAAAGCGCCAACGATCATACGGTTGAACGCAGCTCATAATGCCGTGCAGCTTGCTGCATGACGTTGGTTTTGAATCGGACTTGCCTTTTGCGCTACATGTGGTTGCTTCAGCTTGAGTTCTGGATTCCGTGTGTGAGTCGGGAGTTGCACTAGGAGGGCCAGGGAGGACATGGCGTAAAGGCGTCATTTGCCATACTGCGAGATTCAGTTTGTATCAGTTTGTTGGTTTCTTATGCGCTTCATGTTTGCGAAGGTGTTGTTGCGCCGTTGTTTGTGTGTGTGCGTTGTTTTTTCTGTGTTGCCCGAGGTTTATTTGTTTCGCGTGTAAGTCGGGAGTGGTTTCGGGAGGGTCAGGGAGGGCGTGCCAACGCGCTAATGGCAGTGTGAGTGGCTTCGAGGGAAGAGACAAGAGAGAGGAACCTGAAAGAATGGATGCGCAGCAGGTGTCAACACAATCGAATGGAGGAGGAGGAGGAGGAGGAGGAGGAGGTGGAGGACAATGTCGTAAGTGAAGATGCGCGAGCCGTTCATAATTAGGAGAACCACGGGCAGAAGTTCGATCCGGATGAGGATAAACAACATGATGGGATGGATAATCCGTTCAGCAAAAAGGGGTCGAGAGGAGGAGGCGGAGGAAGAAAAGAGAGAGGAATTGGAAGCGAACTTGAACGAGGACGAGGAGACAGAGGACGAGGCTTGGACGGCTAGAAGCGAAGCAGCGGCAGGAGCAGCATCATCGCAGCACGAGGAGGAGGGAAGGAGGGGAGGTAGACGAGTTCGCAGAGGGAAGGAGGACCATGAAATACAGCGTTGGGGCCTACTATGGTAAATGCCGGTTCCCGCGACTGGCAGTGCAGTTCCTAGCCTGAGTCTTTGCAGAGACGCGCATCTGCGTTCTTTGTCATTTCGGTTGCCCTACGCGCCTCACGCGTGTCTTGTCCCCCGTCGTTCCTTTCCTCCGCCTCGGCTGTCTTTCCCATGGGGCTCCCTCTGCCCCGCCAGCTGGGTACGTTCGTGGCCAAGGAGGTGAAGATTAAGGTCGACGACAAGGACACAACTGCAGAGGGGTGCCAGGACGATGACGAGGCCACCGCAATGACACGTCTAGCATTTAGTTTATGTCGCCAGTGTGTTCCCACTGTTCGTCCTTCCCTTAATCGCCTTTGCTCTGATGTGATGTGTATTCTCGATCTCCGAGCACGCAGATGTTTACATTCTGCATCGCCTTGGCAATTGGCGTCGGTCGGCCTTCCACCAACTAGTCGAGACCACGTAATATTTGGCATGGATGGACACCACGTGTTGGCAGGAGAAGGAGGGGAGTGATGATTGGGTATCGGAACGTATGGCGCGCGAAGGGCTTGCACCGCTGGCGCCTGATCACGCGTGTCCGACTCACGCGATCTCCCTATCTCTCTGTCCCTCGTTTTCTCTCTCTTTCGCTCTATCCATGTTTGTCTCTCTCTCTCTCTATTTCGTTCTTCCTGTCTCTCTCTCTCTCTCTCGTTTCCGATGAGTTTATACATTAAATTATAGAAATGTGTATACACATATATGTATACATCTATGCATATGTGTATCGCTCTCTCTTCTCTCTCTCCCTCTCTCTTTCTCTCTTTCTCTCCATCTCCCGCACTGGGCCCCTGCCATCACTGAGGAGGAGGACGAGGATTTCAGACCCTGCGTCCCTCACTCCCACCTGCCACTCACGGCTCCCTAGAGCGCCCGCACCAGGTAGCCAAGGCCGTGGCGGAGTAGTCCCGAGCCAGACGGTTTCAACACATTTTGCGTTTGTCACCCTTTATACGCCCTGCACGCGTGCCCACGAGTATGTTGCCGCCACGGCCGTCGCCCAAGTCACAGCCACAGGCTGGGATGCTAGTCTCAGGCCGATCGATGACCGACGAACCGCTGACGAGAGGGACTGCGATTATGACGACATCTGCCCTCCAAAGCGCCAGAGTCAAAGCGTCAGACTCACAGCCCACCCGTTCGTGCTGGAACTGGTGTCATAGTCATCAGCCAAAGCTCCAACCCTATCAACGGCCTCGGTGTGGCACGATCGTTGATAGAATTGGCGCCGCTGGCAAATGTTGGGTCGTCATGCTGTGCAACAGGTGCAGGGCCGTCCTGCAGCAAGCTGGCCTGACCGGCGACCACGACGCCAGCGACCTTCAGGTGGAGGCCGCGGCCACGGTTCCCGGCCGTGGGTCGCGGATAGGGCTTGCTAGGGCGCCCCTCGACTACGAGTGCCAGGTTGGGCCTTCTCCTACAACCACCCTCATTCGCTGTACTGGCCATGAGCCGGCCGGCGGGGCACACCCCCTCGGAGCGCTGAGGTGGTGGAGCCTCCGCCCCTCGCTGGTCGTTCCTCCAGGCACGGCTGGCCTGGTGCCGGCGGGATCTCGGGGCGACCGTGCCCCTCCGGTCGAGTTGGCGCCTTGCCCCCTTCGCCCCTTCGGTGCGACTGGAGGCCTGTGTCCCCTGGCGCCGTCTCTTTCTGCCTTCACTTCCCCTTTGTCGCTCCTTTTTCCAGGAGGGGAAAGAACACACAGACACAATTAGTCGCCGACCCCCTGGCAGATATGGGAACACGTGGGAAGTGGGGGGGAAGGCGAAACCCAGAAAATCTGGAAAGTATTGGGAATCCTATGATTTTGGTGTGTGTATGTATTTGTGTGTCCCTGGGCCCCTTCACTCGTATCGTGGGGCCGGCATGCCCTGGGAGAGGTCCCTCGCCGCTGTGCCCTCGACGGGCGTTGTGGCCACGTCGCGCGAGCGTTCGCCGCACGGCGCGCGGCGCCGTGGCCGCCGGCCGCGTCCGCCCGGTGGGTCGCGTGTCCCTTGCGGGTCACACGTCGGAAGCGCCACGGGTGCCTGCTTCTCACGTGTCCGGCTCCCAGCCGGTGGAGGAGCAGGGCGCGCGGCCCGCGGGTAGGCCGGCGCCAGGACACGGACCCCGTCCGCATTTGTCCCTTTGGTTGTCGCTCCCTCTGTCTCTCTCTCTCTCTCTGTCTCTTTCTCTCCGCCCTTGTTTTTCTCCCTCTTTGTATCCCCCCCCTCCCCCTCACTCTCACTCTCCCTCTCTCGGTCACCCTCTTTCTCTCTCTCTCTCTCTCTCTTTCTCTCTCTCTCTCTCTCTCTCTCCCTTTCCCTCTTTCTCTCTCTCTCTCTCTCCCTGGCTATCGTTATTTGTTTTCCTCTCTGTCTCTCTCGTTCTCTCTTCCTCTCTATCCTTCTCTCCCTCTCCCCCCGTCTCTCTCTCTCTCTCTCTTTCTCTCTCTCTCTCTCTTTCCCTCTCCCTCTCTCTCCCCTCCCCCTCCTCTCTCTTCTTCGTTATTGTATGTGTGTATATATGTAGATGTATATGTGTATATATATATATATATATAGTTCCCCTCCCTCTCTCTCTCCCCCCTCTTTCTCCATTGTTGTCTCTCTCTCTCTCTCTCCTCTCTTTCTGTTTCTCTCTCTCACACTCCCCCTTGTTCTCTCTCTCTCTCTCTCTCCCTCGCTCTCATCCCATCTCTCTCTTTCTCTCGGTGGAACCATCGGTGGGGCACGTTGCGTGCAAAGGGTGCGCCGACCTGTGCGGCGAGGCGCACGCGAACTTGCGCACTGGTGCCGCAGGTGGTGTTCCCTGCAGGGCTCGACCCGTGTGAGGGTGTGCCGACCTTGGCGAGGGCCCGTGAGCGAGCTCTTCGATCCGGCCGCACGTGGAGCTCCGTCTGGGGCACGATCCGTCGCTCGAGGCTCTCCAGGGCCACCCGTCCAGTTCCATTGTGGGGGACGGTCTGCGCGAGGGGGCGTGCCAGGGTGGGCGGCGGCAGGACAGCAAAGTGGCAGCAGCGGCAGACAAGGGAGGCTCGAGGCTCAGCGAGGGGAAAGACGAGGTGAGAAGGGGCTGGAGGGTGAGGAGGAGGTGATGCTAATGATGGTGATGATGGTGCTGATGTTGTTCCCTACCTTGGCTCTGCCTAGAAGGGTTCTTACTCTCTTAGTTTAAAGGGGCCGGGCAGTGCAAAGCGCCCCGGGCGGTTCCCCCAGTCCCCTGGGAGCGGTTCCCCCCAGTCCCCTGGGAGCTTTAGCTTTAGCTTTTGCTTAGCTTTAGCTTAGCTTTAGCTTAGCTGTAGCTTAGCTTTAGCTTAGCTTTTCGCTTAGCTTTTCGCTTAGCGTTTAGCTTAGCTTTATCTTAGATTTAGCTTAGCTTTCGCTTAGCTTGAGCTTAGCTTTAGCTTAGCGTTAGCTTAGCTTTAGCTTAGCTTTAGCTTAGCTTTAGCTTAGCTTTAGCTTAGCTTTAGCTTATACTTAGCTTAGCTGTAGCTTAGATTTAGCTTAGCTGTTGCTCAGCTTTGGCTTAGCTTTAGCTTAGCGTTAGCTTAGCTTTAGCTTATCTGTAGCTTAGCGTTAGCTTAGCTTTAGCTTAGCTTTAGCTTAGCTGTGGCTTAGCTTTAGCTTAGCTTTAGCTTAGCTTTAGCTTAGCGTTACTGTTACTACTAATGCTGCTTTCCTAGGGGTTCCAACTCCCAGGTAGGGTCGCACTGGGATAATTTTTTTTGATGATGATGATGGTGCTGATGGCGTTCAGGATGATGATGCGGCTGCTGTTGCATCTTGTGATGCTGACTATGATGATATTGATGATGATGTTGATGATGGTGGTGATGATGATGGTGCTGATGATGGTGATGATGGTGTGAAGGATGATGATGCGGCTGCTGGTGCATCTGGTGATGACTATGATGATGCTGATGATGATGATGATGGTGATGATGATAATGATGACGATGACGATGCCGATGACGATGCCGATGATGACGATGATGGTGATGATGGTGCTGATGATGTAGAGTATGATCCTGATGCTGCTAATAATGATTAGGTGAATGATGATCAAGATGGGGCTCACGAGGATGATGATGACGATGATGGTGTTGATGCTGATCCAGATCGCTGAGGATCATGCATACGATGATTAGTTTGATGATGCTGATGCTGATGATGCCGATGATGATGGTGACGATGATGATGATGATGATGATGATGATGATGGTGCTGATTCTAATGCAGATGCTGATGATCAAGGCGGTGATGATGATGGTGATTATGATTATGGTGATGACGATGATGATCATGACGATGATGGTGATGGTGAAGCCGAAGATGATGATTATGCTGATGATGATGCTAATGCTGATGGTGATTATGTTGCTGATGATGACGATGATGGTGCTGATCATGTTCAGAATGATGATCATGATCATGGTCGTATTGATTAGGATCATCGTGTTGATGATGATGCCGATGCTGAGGCTCAGGCGGCCAAAGATGTCTCCGATGATGATGGTTGTGGTGGGGATGATAATGATAATGATCACGCTGCTGCTGATGCTGATGGTGATGGTGACAATGACGAGGAGGAGGAGGAGAATAAGGCATATGAAGGCCCTGGGGTTCAGGATCACCCGTCCTTTCGAAAGCCTTTGGAAGCCTCTTGGGGGGGGCAAGAGAGAGGGCCCTCAACAGCCCCGACGCATCGATACCCTACCGCCGAAGCGCTCGTGCCAAATGAGCCTGCAAGAGCCTTCTACGCTGCAGCGGCACCGGCGGCTGATGACGATGATGACGATGATGACGACGACGATGATGATGCTGATGATGATGCTGCTGTTGATGATGATGATGATGATGATGGTTATGGTGATGGTGATGGTGATGATGATGCTGATGCTGATGCTGATGCTGATCATGATGACGACGGGGCTGATTATTCTGATGATGACGAGGAAGAGGATAAGAAGGAGGATGGGGGAGGACAGGGAGGAAGATCAGGAGGAGGAGGAGGAGAAGGAGGAACAGTAGGGAAACGGCGGATGGAGGAAGGGAGGAAGACAAGGAGGAGAAGGAGGAGAAGGAGAAGGAGGATAAGGAGGAGAAGGGGGATAGTGGTAATGCTGCTGCTGACGATGATGGTGATGATTGTGCGGATGACAGTAGTAATACTCATTATGATGATGATGGTTTTGATCACGATCTTGATCGTGATCAGGATCATGAGGATGATGACGATGCTGAGGATGATGATGGCGATGGCGCTGATGATGATGGTGACTACGATGATGGCGATGATGCTGATGTTGCTGATGTAGATGCCGAGGACGGTGATGATGATGATAGTGCTGATGCTGATGCTGATGCTGATGTTGCTGCTGATGATGATGATGATGATGAAGATGATCAGGAATCTGCTGATGCTGCTGATGACGATGAGGAGTATGATGATGCTGCTGATGATGATGGTGTTGGTGTTAGTGTTTGTGATTGTGATGGAGACGGTGATGGTGATGGTGATGATGATGATGATGATGATGATGATGATGATGATGCTGCTGCTGATGATGATGATGATGATGATGATAATGATGACGGCGGTGTTGAAGATGGTGATTCAGATCATGATGATGTTAATGTTGATGTTGCTGCGGCTGCTGCTGATGGTGGTGGTGTTGATCACGCCGACAACGATGCTGCTGGTACTGCTGCTGATGATACTGTTGCTGCTGCTGCTAGTGATGATGCTGATGCTGATGATTGATACTGGTGATGGTGCTGCTGATGATGATGATAATAATAATAATGAGAATGATGATGTTGATGCAGGTGCTGGTGTTGATGATTGTGGCGATGCTCATGATGATAATGGCGATGATGATGACCATGGTATAGATGATGTTGCTGATGATTTGTGGCGATGATCCTGATGATGTTGCTGATGAATAAGATGATACTGATGATGCTGGTACTAATGACGATGCTGATTGTGATGATGATGATGATGATGATGATGATGATGATTATGATGATGATGATGATGATGATGATGATGATGATGGCGATGAGGATGATGCTGATGATGCTGGTGCCGACGATGACGATGATGATGAGGATGAGGATGAGGATGAGGATGAGGATGAGGATGAGGATGAGGATGAGGATGAGGATGAGGATGAGGATGAGGATGAGGATGAGGATGAGGGGGAGGAGGAGGGGGAGGAGGGGGAGGAGGGTATGAGGGTGCGGAGGAGGAGGCCAGGGATGAGGACAAGGAGGAGGAGGAGGAGGAGGACGAGGAGGAGGAGGAAGAGGAGCAGGAGTAGGAGGAGGAGGCGGACAGGCATGACAGGGAGGAGGAGGAGGAGGAGGAGGAGGAGGAGGAGGAGGAGGGCGGACAGGCAGGACAGGGAGGAGGAGGAGGAGGAATGACAGGGAGGAGGGGAGGGGGAGAAGGGGAATGGAGGATGAAGGACAGGGAGGAAGACACGGAAGAGGTGGATGAGGAGGAGGAGGAGGAGGAGGAGGAGGAGGAGGAGGAGGAGGGGGAGGGGGGGAAAATGAGTGCTGGGACCCAGCAACACGGGATGGCGGAGGGTCACACGCGTGTTTTGGTGTTGGGCCTCTCGAGGGCCATGTTGATGATTCCCAAGGCTTTCTCGGGGCATCTGAGGGGTCTTCGGGCCAAGTTGGTAACATTTGTGCGTGCCTCTTTGTTTTCGGTGTTTGTCTTGGGAGCATCGTGGCCCATGGTGGACATCATCGACGTTAGACTGAGCTGGGTAGGCGAGGGTGCAGGCGCGACCGAAGACATAATACGCCCGCGAGGAAGCGGGACTCCGAGAGAAGCGTGGCACCAGCCCGCCAAGCATAGAGAGGATGAAAGGCCACCCGTGATTTTGCAGGGACGTTTTTTCATCGGTCGCGACTGTAGTGCGTGCGTCTGCATTTGCTGCGGAGTGTGTTAGCCAGCGTGGACCCCAAATAGTGCGTTCTTAGCAACTTATGTTGTGCAATCGATGGTCGGTCTTCCGTACAAGATATGCGGTGCAGTTTGTGTGGTGCAACCTGTACGGTGCGATCTATGTTGTGCCATCTATGTTGTGCCATATATACATACATGTGTTTGTCTGTATGTCTGTATGTATGTATGTTCCGTGCGATCTATGTTGTGCCACATGTGTGGATGTCGGGCAATATATGTGGTGCAATAGATGTGGTGCAAGCTATGTGGTGCAATATGTGTGGTGCGGCCTGCGCTGTGCAATTCATGTGGTGCAATAAATGTGGTGCGGTCTATATGCAACATTATGTGGTGAAGTCCATGTAGTGCAATGTATGCGGTTCAATCTGATTAGGTGGTGCGATCTTAATGGTGCAACCTATGTTGCGCGGTCTATCGGGTACAGCCTATGCGAGGCGGCGACGAGGCGGCGACGGGGCGACGACGGCTGCCACAGCCGCCGGTCTCTTGCACAGGCTCAGGCGATGGGCGGCGACGAGGAGGCGACGGGGCGGCGACGGCGGCCACATCGCCGCCAGACAGACGCACAGGCCCAGCCGATGGGCGACGACGAGGCGGCGACGGCGCCCAATAGTTGCCAGACCGACGCACAGGCCCAGTCCCCTATTCCAGAAATATGAGCCCCTATGTGCAAGCACTGTTTGGGGAATTGCAGAAACCTGGCCAGACAGCACGGCTAGTATAACATGATCTTCTCTTGTCGTCCCTGAAGCTTTCGTTTTCGGGGTTGGGTTCGAACAGGTGGATGGAAGGCAGAGGTGAGACGCGGTTGGCAGAGGTGCGCAAGAGCAGCCCAGAGGAGGGAATTGTGCTGGAATGTGTGTTCGGATGGTGTCTTAGTAACATATTGAGGGTGAGGAGTCTTAGCACACGAGGGCGGGTGCGTGGGGCAGAGGTGGTCAGGGGCCGTGGTGGTGTATCTTTCTTGGGGCCCCTCAGCAGGGTATCCTAGGTACGCACCTGCATCCCACCAACATGCAAACCGTGCACCCCCCTGTCATCAGGGAAAGCGGTGGCAGCGGTGAGGTAATCATAGGCGCAATGGGATGAAGTGTAGCAATCGTCACAAGCTCCCTGCCAGGCAGCGCGCAAGATGATTGTAGAGATGACGTCCCTGGGCGAGTCGCTGCAAGCGTCCAAGCCTTTAGAGCCAGCTGAGTTTGAGAAGGATGCGTGTTTTGCCTTGTCAGGTCCCTGCTCTTCATGTTTTGTTTCACCTTGGCTCGTGATCCTAAGTTATGTTACGATCACCATGTATCACTAGCACCCCTGTTTTCTTGATTGCAACTGCGTCTCGACCGCAGCTTCTCACTCATCATTGGGAGATCTGTACACGTAGGTTTGTCTTTCTCTGTCAGTCTCTCCTTTGCTGAATCTACGTAGCACCCCGCAGTTGCGGATAAAAGTGGGGGCAGCGGGGACGTCAGCAGTCTGTGAGGCTCTGAGGAGCCCGCCGCAGGCGCCCAAGTTGCACACATTATGCAACGGGCTCGCCGCAGGCGCCGATCTTTTCATTAGGCCACGTGGGCGGGTCGCGGGGTGAGTCGCGAGTGGGTCGCGGGCCGGGTCGCGGGTGGGGTCACGGGTGGGTCGCGGGTGGGTCGCGGTTGGATCGCGGGTCGGGTCGCGGGTGGGTCGCGGGTGGGTCGCGGGTGGGTCGCGGGCCGGTTCGCGGGGGGGACGACAACAAACAACGCATACAACAAACAACAACGAACATCAACACCACCAACAACAACAAGAAGAAGAACAACAACAACGACGAGAACGACAACAACAACGACAACAGTTCGCACCACATAACCTCGCTTCAGACACGCGCCCAGGGTCAGTGAATCACCGTTCGGCCTTTGTATTTTACGACGTGCCCCAGGACGACGATGCGAACTTCCACATCGCATTCATCGCCGCTGCAGCGAACTTGCGGGCCAGGACAGCTTCGATGTTGATAGCTCGATTGCCAGGGATCGAGTGGAAGCAGTGTTCTTGCTTGCGCGCGGTTTGGGCATGCAAGTCATTAGGCGTTTTCGCGTGGATTCCCCGCCTCCATGGACTCCATGCCCACTCGAAGCGCGTCTTGCGTCCTGGCCGTCCCTGCCCTCCGATCGCGCGGTCCAAGCGAAATGTGTACAGAGGCGCGGCCGTGCTCTTCTGACCACGCTCTCGGATGTGGGTGTGAGAGGACGGGCAGTGACGAAGGAAAGAGCATACCCTGTGATATTACGATGTTCCAGCAGTGGTGCCAGTCGATGTAGACCGCTACCGCATCATACAATAATTCGCCCCAGTGGAAAGAGCATCCCATACCGCTCTATGATTAGACAAAGGTTGGTGCAATCACGATGTTCTTCATGTTGTTCGGTGAATGTTTATCGGATTCTTTCTAGAGAGGTGATGGTGATACGTGTTTGGGGTGTTCAGTTGGCCAGGTTCTGCGGGTCCCGCTTGCTGGGCATATTTCAACATGTTCATGTTTAGTTGTTTGTTTTGTTTCAGGCCTTCTGTTGTGGCGTGCCTCGGAGGTTTGTCTGGCCTTGGCCGACTTCGAGGAGAAAGCCAGTGAGCCAAGGTGTCTTGGGAGCCGTATACGCCCCATCTGATTGCCCACAACACACCCGTAATTTTCCGGACGTGATTTCGGCGAGTACATAGGGGTTAGATGGGCTTTGGTGACGGCTTTGGAAGTTTAGCGTGGCAGACAAGGGAACATTGCTCGGGAGCTACTATTCGTGAGCGTTGCACACTGGTTGTCCTCATGGGCGCGCACTGCTTTGCCAGAGCTTGCGCATCGGCGAGCGAGATACACAGAGGTTGGTAGTTGTTGGTGTGCTATCAGGCTGCTTTGCAAACAGATCGGAACGACAAACGAACGACACGACTGGGCTCGCATGTTGCGAAAACCGTGGAGTACGTGCAAGCTGACCTGCCTGCCCAGTACCTACACGCATGCTGAGCATGTTGGACCAGTGGGTGTGTTTCGCAGCTATCGCGATGTATGTACGCACGAGAATTTCCATGGGAGTTTGCAGCAATCAGGAACTACAAGATCCCCGAGGCCGATTTTCACAAGGCGCAGAACCGCATTTGTCTTCTAGCTTCCTGCTTCATTCTGGCTGATCAGGCGAGGGGTCACGATCGTTCCGTGCAGGTCGCCAGTTGGTCCACCCTTCTTGGGGACTTCGTGTTCGGTCGCTCGTTTCCGTCTCCCTCTGGCTCAAGCTTTTGCGCATGATTTGATCTTGGTGTTACCAACGACAGTTGCTAGCCGTAGGCTCGTATCATTCCTGGCCCTGGCTCCGTCAATGATCCCAGCTGCACTGCATGAAGCAATGCATGCTCCGTTTTCTCAGCATCGCGATGACCCCGGCCAGCTCCCGTGCCACTTCTTGGTCCTCCGTGTCTTGGTCATGTGTTCTTCCCCTCCCCGGGCTTCCTCATCCAGGGGCTCGTGCGCCTCCTCCTCCTCATCCCCACCGTCGCCATTTTGGCTCAAGCCTTCCCGGCTCCAGTGACACATCCCGCAGGGTAGTTGGGCAGGACCAGCTGGCCCATCGCGGCGACCGATCCAGGGCCGCCGAGCGATATGGCGTGGGCTCGAGCCTGCGTCCCGAATCCAGAGCTCGTTTCGATTCCTCCGATGCGATTCGAGTCGGTCTCGATGGATGGCTTCCGATTCCGATTCGATTCGACGTTGGATTCCGATTTGGATGCCGATTTCTCAAAGAGGCATTGCTACTCTGCCGCCTTCTGCCGATTCGAATCCTCCCGGTTTTGGCTGTCGATTTCCGCCGATCCGATTAATTTCGATTGTCAAGGCAGACTGCATGGGAATCCAGTTGATCATCCCTGAGCAGCTCATCAGCTACGTTGCCGGGGATGCAAGGGCTGCTTTCTACGTGGATTAGGCGTTGCCTGCGGATTTCATGTTCTGCAGGTCATCATCCAACTTGCAAGCATGGAGCCCAAGTTAGCCATGTGCTTCCCTCCAATGTGGGGTGCTTCGACATCTCAAGCGAGGAGGAGAACGAGCAGCCGTTCGAGGTTGCGGAGAAGTGTGTTGCAGGGCAGCAGGACGGACAAGTGCATCGCAGTGCAGCAGGATATTGTTTCCGAGCATGTCGAAGAGCAGCCGTTCGAGGACGCGGAGGAGGGCATCGCAGTGCAGCAGGACATGCCCAGCGAGGCGGATCGAGCAACCGCATGAGGACGCGGAGACCAAGAACAGCGACTCCGTTGGCATGAGTGATCTTGTGTTCCTGCCAGGTGCCTCCGATTTCTCAGATCTGGCAGCGATGGGTCAGGCCACCGTGGGCGCGGCGACGAAGTCCCTTCGAGCAGGGGATCAAGTGGAACGACATTGGTGTTCATGAGGTTCTTCCTGGTGGCCCCCAAGTTCCCGCATCCCGCAGCTGTGCGCCTGGGCAGTGAGTGCGCGGAGAAGTCTGGAAAGGGGGCAGAACAGAAGGGCAACAAGAGCACGTTGGGCAAGGAATGTCTGGAGGGCAGCGTACCAGGCAGGACTCTTTCGACCAGCGAGGCGACGACGCGGGCGATGGCAATCAAGATCAGTCAAATGAAGGCCAGTATAGCACATGGAGTCCATGCGATTGGAAGGCGGCTCCTGATCGCCGCTCCAGCTGAGCCTGCCGAGGCCGTCCAAACACACCGTCTCAAACCGTATTTCTCCGAGTCGGCATGAGGCTGTCGCCGTGCTTCCGTGCTTCGATTGACAAAGCGAACAAAGGGCGGGGCGGAAATTGAGGGCGGTAGCGATATCATCAAAATGGGGCCAGCAAAGGCCCAGCAGGAGAAGGACGTCGACCAGTCTGTCATTTTGTTTGGACACGGGTTCTATCTTCCCCTTGCGCACAACGACCTCATGCAAGAGGATTGGGCCATCCTGGAGATCGAGACGAGCGTGACGACTCTGGCACCGCTCTGGGTTTTGGAATTCGTTTTGCTTGTTTAAGCGAGAAGCGCGTTCCATACCATTCGAACAAGTGATTCGGGGATTCACGATTCGGCAGTTCCTCCGACTCATATTGTTGTTTTCCGCACACTAGTTGGAAGATCAACGGCGTCATTGACAATTGACAAGTGTACGGCGTCGTAGAATCGTAAGTCGGAAGTTGTGCGTGCTTATCAAATTTGACGCATCCGAGTTAAATCAGAAAGCGCCAGAACTACGGCGAATCAGGAGTCCGTGTGTCCCAGTCCAAGGAGTGAGCAGCGTCCCGTGGGTTCCGCCTGGACTCGTGCACAGAGCTGGGTTGCAGGACGCCGTCGCTTCATGACGTTGGGTAGTCTTCTTACTCCTGTTCTACCTCCTCCACCTCCTCCTTTTGCTTATGCTCCACCTCATCCCTCTGCACATCATCCTCCTCTCTCGCCAAGATGAGGACTCGAGGCGCACTGGCGAAGTCGCCAGTCTAGCGGCAGCACGGAAGGGGTCAGCGGAGCCCACGGGTCGTGTTTGGACGAAACAGATCCAGCGGAGAAGCTGACATGGCATGGACCCCTTTGCCCCGTGAGCTGCCTTGCGACTCGCTCTTGGCCAGATCATCCCAGTGTGGCCAGAATCGCCCAACACCTCCACAAGCGAGGGCAGTCCGAACGCGGCCGCGCGCCAATGGCTGGCCACGGCCTTCTCCGCGCCATCGTTCCGATCCGCCTCCTCCCACATCCCCCTAGCACGCTCTCAACACCGAACTGCTGGGTCCATCTTTCTGTTGGGGGGAGGGCGACAGGGCGGAGGAGGACGAGGAGGCTCAGGAGGAGGAGGAGGACGAGGAGGAGGAGGAGGAGGAGGGGGACGACGACGAGGAGGACGAATCGGACGAAGTTGGGGGGGAGGGGGACGAGGAGGAGGGGCAGGAGGAGGAGGAGGGGGAGGAGGAGGAGGAGGAGGACGAGGAGGAGGAGGAGGAGGAGGAGAACGAGGACGAGGAGGACGAGGAGGAGGAGGAGGACGAGGACAAGGACGAGGATGAGGAGGAGGAGGAGGAGGAGGAGGAGGAGGAGAGCCTGCAGAACGAGGAGAAGATGAGGACGACCTGGGGAGAGCGAGCAGTCGCCGCCCCCGAGACCTGGCAGGCGGAGGCCTCTGCACCGTCCACCCAGAGACGCCCTCCACTCCTCTGCCCTGCCTATTGGCTCCCACGTCTGCTCCCCCTCATCCCTCCTTCCCCTCCTCCCCCCCCCCTCCCTCCCTCCCTTTCTCCCTCCCTCCCTCCCCCTATCCCTCCCAAGCGGCGAGATCCACGCGCGAGATCCCCCCTCCTTCCCTCCCCCCCCCCTCCCTCCCGCGGGTCTGCCTGCCTGCCTTCCTCCCTCCATTCGCCATGGCTGCTCCCCGTCTCATCCGGCGCTCTCTGTTTCCTTCATCCTCTGGCCCTCCTCCCCCCCCCCCGCTCCTCGATCGGTCCGCCATCACCTCTGTCCTCGGTGTCCCTCCTTCCTCCCCGCCCTCCCTGCCCCTTCTGCCCAGCCCCCCTCTCCTCTTACGTCCTGCTTCTCCGTCCAATGTCTTGGCTCTCCTGCGCCCCGTTCCCTGCTCGCCGTGCTCTCCCTGTTCCCTTCTCCCTGTCTCACCCTGGCAGACCCGAGGTAAAGATGACGGCGGGCAAGATCATCCCCGCCATCGCCACCACGACGGCGATGGTCACCGGCCTCGTGAGCGCGGAGCTCTTGAAACTGGTGGCGCTCAAAGAGCGCAAGGTCTCCTGCCGCTGCCTGCGCTGATACCCCTCTTCTCCCATCCTCCCTTTCGCCTCCCCTTCCACGTACGTCTCGCTGGCACGCCTCGTCTACGTCTTTGTTGTCGTCGCCACGCTCGGCGTCGTCGTCTTGGTCGGCCGCGTCGCCCATTAGCTGCACTGCTTGGAGCGACTGCTCCCTCGACCTGCCCATCGGCCAAGCCGAGGAGAACAGCTTAAAACGGCCAGAGTGCTGAGTAGCACATTGAGGGAATGAGCGAGGGACGGTAGAGGGGAACAATTAGGTGAGATTCCCCCTCTCTCCCAATTAGTGGAGACTCCTCGTCTCCCCCTCTCCCCCAAATGTGGAGACTGTGGTCGGAGTGCAACTCATTCAACCCACCGCCAACCTTTGAGCATTGGTGGATGGGGGGGCATTGACGGATGAATGGGGCACGAGTGTTCGCCAATATGTTTTCCGAGGCTTGGATGGAGGCAGGGAGGCAGGGAGGAAGGCACGAGCAGGCAGCTCTCCACGCGTGTCCGCACCGCTCTCCAGCAGGCCTCGCGTACGATCCCTCGCTTCGCCGGGGTGCGCGCCCCGAGCACGTTACGGTACAGGCCCATGCCACGAAACACCCTGCTTGCCTCCAGGGTGCCCTGGGTTTCCTGGGCTCCGATGGTTTTGCGATGGAGAGCGTGACGGTCTCAGGGCTGCGTTTCTCGTGGAAGGTTTCTCGTGGTAGCGCTCCTAACGGTATGGGGGATAGGCATGGGGGGGGCTGCATCGACACGCAATCGCCCATTGATTGCCGATCGGGCCCCGATAGTCCCAGCCTGCCCAGGAAGGTGCGGATTCACTCTCGGGGGCGTATCGCCAATCTATCGGCGATGTACCGCCGATTCCAGGTCGATGCATTCCCCCCTGTGCCAGTCCCCTCTATCGTTGCCCCTCAAATGAGCATTTACCGCGTGTTAGCACAGGGCAACGCCAAGTTCAAGCCCCGATGTGCATAGCGACAGCAAGCCATTCGCATGCAACTCCGCTGCGGGCCTCTGGGTGGTTTCTTTGGGCCGTGAGGGGGCTTCTTCGGGGTATCTTGGAGGCCTCTGGAGGGCCTCTGGAAGCCTCTCGGGGGGCCCTTCGGGGCCTCTTCGGGCCTCTTGGGGGCCCCTTGGGCTGTCTTGGGGCGCTCTTGTGCCGTCGGGCCCCTTCGGAGACTTGGGGGCCTTTCGGGGCCGCCTTGTGGCTCCATTGGTGTCCTCTTGGGCCGTCTTGGGGGCCTCTGGAGCCTTCTTGGGGCCTCGGTGGGCCATCTTGGGGCGCTCTGGGGCCGTTTGGTTGCCCCCTCGGGGGCCTCTTGGGCCGTTCTCGGGGCCATGTTGAAGGCTGTTTGGGCCGCCATGGGCCCCAGAGAATCGAAAAAAGGCGTGGACGCGAAATTATGGCAAACACTATTGGAAAATACATATTCTTGACCTTTGGAGATATTGGGGGCCTCCTTGTGGGCCCGCGGGGCCGTCTGGGGAGCACCTTGGGCCCTCTTGAGGCCATCCTGGGCCGTCTTGGGCCGTGTGGGGCCCATATTGAGCCGTCTTGCGGCCCTCTAGGACCTTCTCGAGGCCCCAGAGGCCGATATCATAGATGTTCCATACGTTTTGGTACGCTTCTGGGTTCCAGAAGGGGATCTGCCACTTTGGCCCGCCGATATGACAAAACTCCAGCGGTGGTCAAGGGGGAGACATCACTATGTAAGGGAATGCAGTATGTCGCAAGTGTGTAATATCGGATGCGTTGCACACGTTGAGTTAAGGCGTTCGCCAGAAAACGTTGCCGCTCAGCACGTCACCTCGGGACCTGGATTGATAGGTTTACGCCGCACCGCCAACCCCTTGGGAGCTCTGTGTGCCTCTCTTTTCCGGGGGTTGCTCTAGAGGCGTCTTGGCGCTGTGCGCAACTAGGAGACCCAGAGCCGTGGTCCAAAAGAGTTTTTGTGGGTCGATTGTGGGCCCTCTTGGGGACCTCTTGATGGCCTCTGGGGGCTTGTTCGGGGCCTATTGGGGCTCTCTTGGAGATCTGTTGCGAGTCTTGGGGCAATTTTGTACGGAGGGCACCCCCGGGGGCCCTTCGAGTTCACCCTCTTGGCTCCCTCCTGGGGGCAATTGTGGTTCTCATGGGGGTCTGTTGGACAGTCTGGGGTGACTTCTGGGCTATCTTGGAGCCCAGTTGGGCCGTTTTGGGGCCTTCTTGGGGGCGACTTTGTGGGCCTGTGGGAAACATTTAAAACATCAATGAATTGCGACTCTTGGCATACTCTTGTCGGCCATTCTGGGGCTTTCTTGGGCCGTTTTGGAAGCCTCTTGGCCTGGTTCAGGCCATCAGGGGCTTTATTCGACGTATCTTGGGCCGTCCTTGAGCACTTGTGGACCGTCATGAAGCTTTCTCTGACTAACTAGGTGCATGGGCCTTGGAGTTTCTCAGGGCCAGATGAGTCCGACGGTGCCCAGTTGAGTCCGCCGGGGGAATCGGACGAATCCCCCCCTTCAAAAAACAGGCCGGACCAGGCTCTTGGGCGAGAGGGTTGGGGAGGAGCAATCATCTCATCCGCCGAGGAAGCCCGAAGGGATCGGCAAGGTTTCTTGCGTGCTCCAGTGGCCTACCCTGGCCTCCAATACTAATATGCGCTTTACTGTCCACGTGCTTTCACCAGGTGGAGATGTTCAAGAACGCGTTCGTCAACCTTGCGCTGCCGCTGTGGGTCATGTCGGAGCCCTTGCCTCCGCTGAAGACCAACAGCAAGGAGGGTTTGGAGGGGTGGCAGCTAGCAGCTGTCCAGACCCCTGCCCTGCTCGCGAATTAGGATTCAGTGGATGGTCGTTGCATCCCTGGCACCCCGAAAGGCCTGGCCCCTGACCGCTGGTCTGGGGGCGCATTCTTGCTTCTGGCCAAGGAGTGCAACGAGCATCCCAAAACCCAGCATCCCAAAACCTGGCATCCTTGAGCCTCGACGGGCGGGGTGGTAGTCATCCGCCGAGGGCCTTGCCAGTCCCTTGGCCTGCTCTTCCGCAGGAGGGTTTTGGGGGCGACCAGGTCGCCGACGGTCCCCTTGAGCGCACAAAACTTGCGCCCACTTCCACCAGGGAGGCGCCAACCCATGAAGGATCGAGGGCCAGCGTGTCGGGGTAGATCGGCGTGTGGTGGGCGTCTCGGTAGGCTCGGAGTTTCCGCATGAGCGGTCATGGACGACCCTTTGGCAGCCTTCCTGGACCCCCGCCATGTCGGACGAGGTTCCGGCGTTGTGTGTTGGAGCCTTTTCCTGGCAATCTTTGCGACCGCCCCTTGAAGCCCGGGGGTTGGCCAGCAAAGGCAGCATAGTTTTAGCCCGAGAGTGCCCAAGAAGACCCAAAAGGCCCCAAACATCGCTGTCAGATGGTCCTGCATTGTATGGGGTCTGGGCGTGTGTATGTACATATATATATATATATGAACATACATTTGTGTATGCAAGTGCATATGTGTATGTATACATATATACACACCTATGTATATGGGGTCTGGGCGCGTGTGCACACATATATATTTGTATATATATTATATATACATATATACATATATACATATATATATATATAAATATGTGTACGGCATTTGGCCCATCCCGCCACAGTGCCTGGGTGGTAGGCATGAGGCCTTTTGGATGTTCGTTGGGATATCGTGGGAGGCCCCTCGGGAGGGGAAACTGATAGGGGAGAAGCCACGAGGGGGGCAATCGGGGAGGCCTTGCACGGGCGGCCATGGCCCCTGCCAGGAGGCCAAGCACTGGTCCGCTACTCTCCGGGAGCTGTCGTGCGGCACGCGGGCCGTCGCTGCCCAGGTGCAGTGGCGGATTGAGCCCCGAGTTGAAGCCGACCGGATCCTTGGCATGAGCGTGAGGGTGGAGGGAGCGCGCCTTGGTAGCGCAGCGTGGTGACTCGCGCACTCTGAACGCGATCGCTCGGGCTCTTCGAGGCCGGTGCCAGTCCAAGCAGCCAGCCCACGTGCGAAGGGCAGGTGGATTTCTCTCACCACATCTGAGTCTGCACACCAGCGACGTTGGCTGGATCACTTCACAGGTGTCTTCGCCGGTACGCCTTCGAGCCCACGAGTGTCGAGGAGCTCCACGGCCTGCCACGGGAACCCTCTTCTCGACGATCCTTGGCCTCGGGTTGACTCTGCCGCTGTCCAAGACGCGGTGCACAGCCTACCAACCAATCGTGGTGTTGGCATGGACAGCGTGCCCGAAGAGGTCCTGAAGGCGGGTGGCATGGCCATGGCCGTCCACCTCAGCAAGATATTCGAGCGTTCAACCGTGTGCGAGGACTGGCCCGCGCAGTGGGCAGGCAGCAAAACTGCCGAAGTCCACAAGCAGAAAGCACCTCGAGATGTATGTGACGAGTATCGTGGCATCAACCTCGATGATCACGTGGGCCAGGTCCTCAAGATCCTCCTGAACAAGGAGGTGCAGGACCAGTACGGGCTGCACATGCCCCCCTCGCAATATGGCGCTGTTTCTGGGCGGGGCATGGAGTATGCAAGTCATGTATTGTTGCGCTTTATTTATTTATTTGATTGTTTATTTATTTATTTATTTATTTATATTTATTTATATATATAATTGTGTAGGATGCATGGGCTGAGCCATGTCATATTATGGGTGGACTTGTCCAAGGCGTTTGGCAGGGTTATCCAAGAGCTCGATCTCGGCTTCTCCCCAGACGCACGTGATCCTCTGGCGTACCTGCAGAAACACGGGCTATCCACGGCCCAAGCGGAATCGTTTGCCAAGTTTGTTGCTGCACATTGGCCTCTCATGCGGCAGCGGGGGGTATATGCCAAAACTGTAAGGCTCTGAACAATTTGCATGCACAGAGCTGGATCACTTATGGTGACATCGATTCCGCCATCAGCATCAGGCTTGGTGGCAAGCAAGGCTGCAAGTTCGGCAGTCCTGTGTTTAACAGATCGTACTCAGTCGGTCTCATCACGTTGCGGAACGCTTTTTTCTAGGAGGGCGTGGTTATGCACCTTCGATATGGTGTCTATGCGTGTTGGGTTAATGACCTCCCTGAGACAGCGAATGCCCCTGACGAGGACAACGACGCGGTCCCAATCGTCGACGTCACTTTCGTCGACGATGGGTGCCTGATGCTCAGCGCCCAGACACCACGCCAGCTCGACCAGAGGATCGTCCCTTGCTGAATTAGGTGGCCCTCAGTTTCGGCATGCTGAATTTAGCGATCAATTGGACGCCCGGCAAGACGGAGTGTAGCATCGTCTACACAGGCATCGGCTCGGCGGAGCATTCTCGCAAGCGACGCTTCGGCACGTGCGACAAGCTCGTGGTGAGCATCCCCAGCAGCAGCTGCGTCGCTCGAGCTGTTTCTGAGTGCAAGCGCGTGGGAGGCATCACGTCGGGCACAGGACAGGTCGTGCCTGAGTGCCGCGCGCGAGCCAAGTCCCCCCTTTCCTCGTATGGCCCGCTGTCAACACGAGCTTCTGACAACGGTTCCCTCGATGTCGAGGTTCGCCTGAGCTTAGCTCGGTCGCTCCTGTTCGCCCGCTTGTTCTTTGACTTGCACGTTCGAGTTCTGTCCCTGCCCGCCCTACGCATCATCAGCGCTGCGTATATGCGCGTGGCACGTCGCACTTTCGGCAGGTGCCGCGCTGAGTGCGAAGCAGCCATCCGTTGAGTGCATTTTCATGCGGAAGCGGCTGCTATGTTTTGCACATGCTGTGAGCTCTGGGCCCCCCAGAGCTCTACGCCCTCTGTCACGACCGTCGAGGTGGCACTTTGCTACCATGGGTCAAGCAGCCCAGGGATGACATCGGATGTCTCTGGAGGATGTCTGCCCGATGCGCTTCCCGATTCCCTCAAGGACGGTGACCCATGGATCCAACTTTTTGTAGGTCAGCCCGATGTGTGGCGCCAGTATGTACAGTGTTTGTTTTGTTCTTCAACCCTGTGTGACTCAGGCCCTGGTGCCCTTCCAGCCTCTAGCCCACTGTGTAGCACGCTTGTGCGCAGAATGCGGCATGGCGTTCGCCTCCAGTAAGGCAATTCGCTCGCATGCCCGCGCTAAGCATAGCGCGAAGGTTCCACAGCGGGCTCATTTTTGTGATGGTCGGCTCACGTGGTGTTGGGACGCCACGTGCGCCACACGTCACAAGTTCATCCGGCTCTCTCCGGACGAGTGTTGCGCAAATAGTGTGCAGCGACGGGATGCCAGGCGTGCCGGTCATTCTCACGCCTCGGCCGTAGGTCAAGCAACCATTGTTGATGGCAAGGCCGTAGGCTGTGCCAATTGCTAGCGTTGCAGCTGCACAGCCATTTCGGACACGACAGCGGAGCCCTTGGCTCAGATCGTCGATCGACGTATGCCTGCTCAGCACTGTTTTTCACTTGCGGTGGATTTGGTCTATCCCTGGAGCAGCAATATTTTTTGAGATAGACATATATATTTTCATATAGACAAACAATCATACATGCATGCATGCGTGAATGCAAGCATGCATGCAGACAGACGGACAGACAGACAGACATCTATATATATATATATATACACACTTATATATATGTATAGGTGTGTGTGTGTTTGTTATGGTGTCGTTTGTGAACGTTCCCGGAAGTCCCCGGGCGACCTTTCTAGACCTTGAATCCACACCAGTGTGTCGGACGACGTCTCAGTGGTCCGTTTTGGATCTTTCTTGGGACCTTCTGGTGCCGTCCTCGGGAGCCGGCCAGAAAGGCCAACTTCATTGAGCAGATTGAATCGTCTTTGGAGTATTGCTTTCGCGTTTTTAGTTTCGAGGGTGTCCAAAAACCAACCCCAAGACCGCCCAAAGATGGTCCTCCATGGTGGGCCAGGCGTCCCTGCATATTAGCTCTGATCTCGTCCGCCAGCTGCCCTGGACGCCCCTGAGCGGTCCGCCAGACCCCGAGTCCACACCACAGTGTCAGACGACGTCCCAGGGGTCAGTTTGGGATCCCTTGGGGCATTCTGGGGAGCGTTGGGGCCGTCCTGGAGGCTCATGCGCCAGAGCCCAACATGTCCGACGCACCCTTTTGGGCGTTCCAGTGGTTCTAGTTTTTGAGTTTCCAAGATGGAACCAAAGGCATCCAAGGTCGCGCAAAGACGGACCCGAAGCTGCCAAGAGCGCAAGAGGGGCCGCACTCGCCCCCAAGAGCCAAAGAGCTGCCAGTACAGACTGGACCGAGGGGCCCACTTCATTATTGCCGGCCAGCCAGACTGCCAGCATTAGGCCCTCTCAGATCTCGAATGAGCTCCCAAGGGGCTCCCAAGATACCGAAACGCAGGATGCCTCCAAGAGACCCCGACGAGCGCCCAAGAGGTGTCATGGTTTCGGAGTGGCTCGGCGACCGACGTATGGCTTGCCACCTTGCCGGGTCTTGGAGACTGACTGAGATGGTACAACAGTTGTGCGGGGTTCTTGAGCACCGCCCGAGATGGCGAGAAGGCAAGCGCAGATGGTGGGGGGCAGAATCTCATTGATAGTCACACGAGCAGAATTCTGGTCAGGGATGTACTGTCCAGGAACGATGTCGCAGCATCGAGGGTGTGTGTGTGTGTGTCAGTGGAGTAGCTGGTGCTGGCCGAGGAACACGACCCTGTCGTCCTGGGTCCGGTGAGCCCCGCAGCGAGCCGCTTGTCATTAGTGTATTATATTTGCCGTTCGTGATTGGTGCGAGGCTGCGATGTGAGCACGCATGTGATGCAGCAAGCTAGCTAATTGTAACCATGCATGGCCGTCCATGGGCCGGGTATATCACATCTTGTTACCAGAAGTTATATGTTGTTGTTGCGCGCCAATTGTACGTTCCACGCTTGTCCTGCACAATGCCCACAGACAGTGGCGTTGAGACTCGAAGCGCAAGCTGTACGATTACTGTTTCCTCTGTTTGGCAAGGTGCCATCAGTCATTGACTAGATGCGCAGTAGCTGCTCCGAAACCACGTGGCTTATCGGAGAGCAGGTTCGAGCTCAGAGGATACACTGTACGCGCGAAACCAGGGGTCTATCTGAGGATGCCCTCCCCTGCACCCCCCTGATCTTCCCCTCCGGCGACCAATCCTGCCTGATTTTTCCCCCCCTGTCTGGCCCGCCCTGTTCTGTATTCGCCTCCTCTCCCTGCCTCGCCCTGCTGCCGCCGCCCTCTTCACGCCGCCTCCCCTCTCATCCCTTTCTTCGAGGGGGCAAAAACCACCTGGACCGGACAGTGGGCGCTTACTAAACGGCCTTGGGCGTTTACTAAACAGCCCTGCCCTGTTCGATTCAGTCTTTGGGTGCGTTTACTGGGACGGCCTCGCGTGTCGGGGTGGTTATTATCGGGGTGGATTTTTCCTGCCCTGCATCTCTTGCCCTCCCTCCTCCCCGCTCCCCTCGTGTGCCTCGCCCGCCCCTCCCTGTCCCCCCCCTGCTTCCCGCCCCCTGCTTCCTGCCCCCTGCCCCCCTCCCCCCCCAATTGACTACGTCGTATCGTCACCACGCACCAGACCACCCCAACCCAACCCGGGGGCCTCAATTTGCGCTCCATTTCCAGTGTTTGGGGGGGGGGGCGGGAACCATCGGAAAAGCACCTATGGAGCCCATACCCCCCCCAATCCGAAATTCGTGTCTTCGGGTTGGGTCGGGGTGGTCTGGTAGGTAATCATATAGCCTGCTCCTGCTCCTGTTCCCTCTGCACCCTGGCTTCCCCCTTCTCCCCCTTCTTTCCCCTCTCTCTCTGCCCCCCCAGCCGTCCCCCCCCCCTATCTTCCACCTCCGTTTTGCCATCCGCGTTGCCCTCCCTCCTGCCTTGTCTCCCAGCCACCCCATCTCTACTGCCCAGTCCTCGCCCACCCTGCCCTGCACTTCTCGACGGGGGGGAGAGGAGGTGTTCAGGGCCACTCCTGTCCTGGCCAGTCTTCCTCGGGCCTGCTCCATGCGAGAACGGGGCAGAGTGTGGTTCTTGGTTCACGGTGGCCGAATTGGCACGTGCGTCGTGTCGTCACCCGCCTTTGCCCGAGCCAGACCCCTCGTGCCGGCCTCAAGAGGAGGCCAGCCCAGGGCTGCGGCGGGGACCAGGGACAGTCGGGCTGCGGGAACCTCGCGTGTAGCCGGAGGGGGATGAGGAGGGGGAGGGGGAGGAGGAGAGGAAGGGAAGGAGGGGGCTGATGATGTGATGATGATGATGATGATGATGATGATGATGATGATGATGATGATGATGATGATGATGATGATGATGATGATGATGTTGATGATGATGATGATGATGATGGTGGTGGTGGTGGTGATGATGATGATGCTGATGATGATGATGATGATGGATGCTGATGGTCGATGCTGATGCTGATGCTGATGCTGCTGATGCTGATGTTGATGATGATGCTGCTGATGCTGATGCTGAGGGTGAGGGTGAGTGTGAGGATGGGGATGGGGATGAGGATGAGGATGAGGATGGGGATGAGGATGATGAGGATGATGAGGATGATGATGATGATGATGATGATGTTGATGATGACGTTGATGATGCTGATGATGATGATGATGATGATGATGATGATGATGATGATGATGATGATGCTTATGCTTATGCTGCTGATGATGATGATGATGATGCTGATGCTGCTGATGTTGATGATGCTGATGATGCTGATGATGATGATGATGCTGATGATGATGATGCTGATGCTGATGATGCTGATGATGCTGATGATGCTGATGATGCTGATGATGATGCTGATGATGCTGATGATGCTGATGATGCTGATGCTGATGATGATGATGAGGACGATGATGATGATGATGATGATGATGATGATGATGATGATGATGATGATGATGATGATGATGATGATGATGATGATGATGATGGTTCTGATGGTTCTGATGGTGGTGGTGATGCGGAGGAAGAGGAGGAGGACGACGACGACGACGATGAGGTCTGCGTAGAACGATGCATGGGTCAGGAGGCCGGAGGGCGAAGGGAGGCGGGTGGGGCGGGTGGGGGGGCAGCCTGGCCGCCGACCCCGGCCGGCAGGTGAAGGCCAAGCCCGAGGGCTTCACGACTTGGGACAAGGCCCGGGGTGGGTGGGGGCCGTGGATCGGGGGCGGCAAAGAGGGGGGTGATGATTAGGTGTGTGGATATCATCGCGGGAGCCATGTTATCTCCCCAGGTTTCATGGCGCCTCTTCTCATTTCGATACGTCCTGGTCCCCCCCCTCTTGGACGCCCCCCTCTTGCACGCCACCGAGTGGAGGGAGGCGAAGGATTGGAGCCGGCTGAGGGCCCGAGGTGGCCCAGCATTGGTTCCGGCGAGCAGACAGGGCAGGCCAGTTTCGAGGCTCTGGGTTCGAGAAGTTTTTGTCTATTTCCCGGGAGCATCAACAACGGTGTATGGAGTAAAAAGGTGCACCAGATGGATCCAGGGAGGGGATTAGAGACCGATTTTGAACGAATCTGCCTTCCTTTATCTCCCCTTCTTCACAGACTTCTCGAAGTTCATCCAGTTCAGACCTTGGCGCCTCCAAGCGAAGGATGTGCAGGGGCGAGGGGGGGAAGGAGGCGGCAGCATGCCCGTCTGCCTGACAGTTTGGGGATGCGTTCCACAATGCAGGCGACCCCCGCACCCGCAGCCAGAGCAGCAGATTGTTGTTGAGAGTGCGGCACGCAGTCGGCGCTTGATGGGGCAGGTGGAGCTCAACATAGGCGACGTCACGCTCAAGCAGTTTGTGGATTACCTCACTGACGAGGCCCTGGTCCGTGTGCCATGAGTTTTGCAGTAGTATGTATAACTGACTCGTCAATCGAAGCGCTGGTCGTCAGCCCACTCCCCACTACCTATCACAGCCTCGGTCTCATGCCGACATCTTGTCCTATCGTGATCACACGGTGTCTCCGGCTCTCTGGGCGATTGTCTCTCCAAATGCGATTTCTCCCAACTTCGCCGGAAGGTTGGCGTCGAAGTCATGATCATGTCTGCAGGGAACGCGTGCCTCTACAACGCGTGCCCGCTTGGTTGGCTCTGGAACGCAGTAAGACATATGTTAGCGGCAGGCTCAGGACGGATGCGCGGGCGAAGGTATGGCAACACTTTTGTCGCAGATTGGTTTTGTGGCAGCTCCGTTGCGCATGAATTCCATGAGCGGAGCGGGCCCACGCTTATTCACGCAGCCTCAATTGATGGGTTGATCATGTATGTTTGTTTGACTCAGCGGCGAAAATGTTGTTCCCGTGGACCCTCTGTGGATGGGGGAACGGCAGAAGAGAAGCAATATTAGGACGAGCGGCCCGGGGGTGACATGATGAGGAGGCTTAGCAGATGGACGAGGGTGGGAGGAGGATGGGTGTGGCAAGGAATGAAGAGCAAGGAAAGACGAGCAGGATGGTTGTGGCAAGGATGGGTGCATTCGCTTCGCGTATCCTCACCCGCCCATGCAGAAACGATACCTCGGTGAGTTGCCCTGATCGGGGGCGGAACAGACAGGTGAGTCACCGTCAAACCGAAGCTCGCGATCAGCCTGAGCATACCCAGGAGTCAAACGGCCGAGCATGTCGTCGAAGGAGGAAGAGGACGACGCGGCGGAGAGCGTGAAGGAGGGGAGGGGGAGCAGATTAAACCCGAGATGCATCAACGATGCTGCAATACACCCTCCCGTGCCAAGTCCCTCCTCAGAGGTCCCGCAAGCCTCAGGAGGAGAAACAACACAGACACAAGTCATCGTCGACTCCCTGGAAAATATAGGGAACTATGGGAAGTGGGGGGGAAGACGAAATCCCAGAAAATACAAGAAAATATTTGGAATCCTGGGATTTGTGTGGCTTTATTTTTCTGTCCCTGGGCCCCTTAAAAAGGCCTTTTTTTGCCACTGCAACAAGAGAAGCAGTTGCCGAGGGCCTCCAGAGACGCGGCGCAGTCCGCCTCGGCGCCCCCCCCCCCACCTCGGGGCCGGGAGCGGACGCGGGGCTGGGCGACGCGCGAGGTGATCCGGGGACAGGAGCGGAGGTGACGGGGGGGAGACGGGCGACGGAGAAGCGAAGAAGAAAACATACCACGTAACCACACACTTTTGGCGCTCCGCGCGGATTTCTTGGATCCGCGCCTATGGGCCCCCAGGGGCGGCGCCTCCGGCGCCGCCCCTGGCGCGCGGAGCGCGCGAGGGAGGGGGGTCCAGCGCGAATCCAAGAAATCCGCGCGGAGCGCCAAAAGTGTATGGTTACAGTCAACCCGTACAGTAAGGATGCGCGATAAGGATGCAAGTGTTTTGGACGCCCATTTCGAAGCTCTTCGAGCGGGGCGCGGCCAACGAAAGTGGCCAAGGATGGGCCGAGGAGGCAAGGATGCACGGGTCCCCTTGGGAAGGTTGCCCATACTTACTATGCGGGTTGATTGTATGTGGTTATTCCTTCTTCTAGAGAAGGGATTCTGGCAGGGTTGGGGCTTTGTTTGTGAGCGTCGGCGGCGCAGCTGCCGACGTATACACAAACCAGGACGGCGAGGCCTGGTGGGGACCCGAGCAGGGGCACAGGTCTGCGATCCCCTACAGAAGGTTCAGCCCTTCCTCGCAAGAAGCCACGGGGGCCACTCGAGGAGCGGAGGGGGCGCCGCCCCCCCCCCCCGAGAGGGGAACGGGCAGGGTGAACGGGGCGGGGCGGGGGCGCCGCCTCCCCGTTCACCCTCTCGGCGACGCCACCCTCCCATCCCTTCCCGTGCCCCTCTCGGGGGCGCCGCCTTCCCGAGAGGGGAACGGGAAGGGGTGGACGGGAGGAGGTGGGCGGGGCGCCCAATGGGAGCGACCCTCGCAGGGTTCGTTCCTTGCGCGCGTGGCTCTTGCACGGTGCGCAGAGCCTCGAGGGAGCGAGCGCTTCGCCTTTTGCGAGATCACACAGGAGAGTCCGCCGAGTCCGCGCGCACCGCGTAATTAGAAAGGCCGATGTGGACTGGCGGAGCTTGGATACCAGCAGCGGCCGCGCAGGCAAGGCGAGCCCAAACAAGTGGGAGAGGTCTGCTGCTGTTCCTGTTTCTCTTCCAGGGCCATCCCCGGCCTTGCCAGGATAAACAAAAGGATGTGGCGGCTTGCGTGGCGCTCGAGATGGCAATCGCACGGGCTGAATCATCAATCGCGTTGAGGGTCAATGGGAAGAGGTAAAGGAGGAAGTGATACTCGAACCTTCCCACTCCCCCTCCTTACTCCCTCCATCCCTTCCCCCTCCCTGTGATCCTTGCTCCGTAGTCACAGGGCTGGCGTACGGCTACGCATTTCTCCTTCACGCAATGTAGTCGCGCAGGTACTTGCCTAAGCACAAGGAGCGGCTGAAAGAGAAGGTCATATACTTTCTTGCACGGGAAATGCTGATGTGTACCATACGGATATGCACGTAAGGCTCGTGGAATACGATTCGTTGTGGTTCTGCGTTTGGGCTCACATTGATGTGTGACCTAGGCAGTCGAATCTCGGGCCAGTTCAAACGTTTGACATCAAGCTTGTTCTGGGCTCGACAGTCACGATCTCGGATGCTTGCTGCATGCTTGACTCAGCTGATTCGGTCCTTCTGGCGATCGCGAGTTCTGGTACTTTACCAGTTGGGATGACTTTCGCAAGTAAAGGTAATTCAGGGATACGCAAGACATGTACGTAAATATCAACACACTCATGCAACAGGAAAGTAGCACACACGAACACATACCCAAGCCCATGTCACATAATATGTCGAACTGAACAGGCGTTATTGGTGATGCCGCCCTGGATAGGCACAAGTAAAGTTTGCCATTCGTAGCATACATCCGAAGCATCATCAGATTACGTCGTGCCGGCGATCACTGATGTAGGATATCTTCAAACTATGCAGATTGTATATTGTACATGAGTTGCACCACAATGTCGTTTGCATCGCGTATGGTCGTGCAGTGTGAAGTGCATGCCAAATTTAGGGAGAGCGATTGTAGCATGTCGTTGATATTCTGCTCGTCGAGCAACGTCTTTCCAGGCAGGACGTTTGAATCAGTTCATCTCGCCATAGTCTTAGGTTTGAGATGTGAGTGTGCCGGCAGTGAAATATTGGATACAACAATGAGCACGGCCGTCTTTCTTTCTTCATGCATAAGGTTGGCGTGAAATTAGCCAACCCTCGATGGTTTGACTGATTGATATTGCCCCAGCTAGCGCTGATTCAGGAAAGCGATATCGCAGAAGGGGAGGTGAAGATGAGGAGGAGGACGAGGAGGAGACGGGGCAGAAGGGGGACGGTAAGGAAGAAGAGGCGGATAACGAGATGGGCGATAGCGAGAGAGAGAAAGAGAGAGAGAGAGAGAAGAGGGGAGGAAACGTATTGCAATGATTCTTGGGGCCGTCTTGGATTGGCTGAGGGCCTCATGGGGACCCTCTTGAGGTGTACCGAAGGCCTCTTGGAGCCTTTTCGGGACGTCTTGGGATCCTCACAGAACCATGCTGGGCCGTCTTAGCCCCCTCCAGGGGGCGTCTTGACTACAACGGTATGCCGGTGAGAATATGATATAGGGTATTGTATAGTTGCATTGTCCCATGACAGTTTTTTTTCCATGCATGCGATTCCACAATGAGAAGTCACAACATATCCACTTGTCGTCTGTTCTGTTTGATGCCCTCCAGTCACTCAACACACAACCGACTCCGCAATTCGTAATCGACAGAGGTCAAATTTAAGGTTGCTCAAATTTAAGGTTGCTCAAATTCAAGGTTGCTCGTTTAGTTTCGCTCGTCTAATTTCGCTCGGTTTTAAATTCGCTCGGGTTTGAATTCGCTCGGTCTGAATTCGCTCGGGTTTTAATTCGCTCGGGTTGTTTTTTTCGCTCGGTTTACATTCACTTGTTTTTTCCCGGAAAGGGCATAGGCCCAGGGTTCTCTTTTATTAGGTTTACCCTTGGTTTTGACGGCTGTAGGGCCGGCGAATTTCTTTTTACCTAACAGCGAAGACTGATAGGTTTCTAGTGGGATCAAAAGAGAGCAGCAGATCACTCCACAGGGGGGTCCGGGCAGGTGTTGGGAGTTGCCGGGCGGCAGGTGCCGGGCTCGTTTTTCACCAACAGTCACACACTTCGTGCTCTTCGACTTCCCAGAACTCCATTCCCAGGCCACATTCTACCCGGATGCAACAGTCACACACTTCGTGCTCTTCGAGATCCCAGAACGCCATTCCCGGGCCACCTTTAGAATAACCGGATGCAACAGTCACACACTTCGTGCTCTTCGAGTTCCCAGAACGCCATTCCCGGGCCACATTTGGAGGGCCGGATGCAACAGTCACACACTTCGTGCTCTTCGAGTTCCCAGAACTCCATTCCCGGGCCACATTTTGGATGCCCGGAGCCAACTGTAGGCCACTTCGTGCTCTTCGAGTTCCCAGAACTCCATTCCCGGGCCACATTTTGAATGCCCGGAGCCAACTGTAGGCCACTTCGTGCTCTTCGAGTTCCCAGAACTCCATTCCCGGGCCACATTTTGAATGCCCGTAGCCAACTGTAGGCAACTTCGTGCTCTTCGACTTCCCAGAACTCCCATTCCTGGGCCACATTTTCAGCAGGGGCAAGAGCACGACGAGGAGGAGGACGAGCAAGACCAGGAGGACGAGGACGAGCAGGAGCAGGACGAGGAGCAGGAGGAGCAGGAGAAGAAGGACGAGCAGGAGGAGGAGGAGGACGAGCAGGAGGAGGAGGACGACCAGGAGGAGGAGGACGACCAGGAAGAGGAGGAGGAGGAGGAGGAGGGGAGGGGGAGGAGTACCAGGAGGAGGAGGAGGAGGAGGAGGAGGAGGAGGAAGAGGAGGAGGAGGAGGAGGAGGACGAGGACGAGGAGGAGGAGGAGGAGGAGGGGGGGGGAGAGTACCAGGAGGAGGAGAACGAGGACCACCAGGAGGAGGAGGAGGAGGAGGAGGAGGAGGAGGAGAGAACACCAGGAGGAGGAGGACGAGCAAGACGAGGAGGACGAGAACGAGGACGACCAGGAGGAGGAGGAGGAGGAGGAGGAGGAGGGGAGGGGGAGGACTACCAGGAGGAGGAGGAGGAGGAGGAGGAAGAGGAGGAGGAGGACGAGGAGGAGGAGGAGGAGGAGGACGAGGAGGAGGAGGGGGGGGGAGAGCACCAGGAGGAGGAGAACGAGGACCACCAGGAGGAGGAGGAGGAGGAGGAGGAGGAGGAGGAGGAGGAGGAGGAGGAGAGAGCACCAGGAGGAGGAGGACGAGCAAGACGAGGAGGACGAGAACGAGGACGAGCAGGAGGAAGAGGAGGAGGAGGAGGAGGAGGAGGAGGAGGAGGAGGAGGAGGAGAGCACCAGGAGGAAGACCACCAGGAGGAGGAGGAGGGAGGAGGAGGAGGAGGAGGAGAGAGAGGAGGAGGAGGACGAGCAAGACGAGGAGGACGAGAACGAGGACGAGCAGGAGGAAGAGGAGGAGGAGGAGGAGGAGGAGGAGCAGGAGAAGAGGAGGAGGAGGAGGAGGCAGGCTGAGGCTGAGGCTGTGACTGCGACTGCCGTTGCCGCTGCGACTGTCATCGCGAATGCGACTACGACTGCGAGAACAGCAGAATTCGACAACTGGATTTTCATCTGAATCTTAAGGGGAATGCTTTCAGATATGCTTCTACACATCGCTGTTAGGTTGCTTTGCCGGGATAATGCGATAAATAACGAGGTCGCGTAGGGCCGGCGAATTAAAAATTGAGGATGTCTCGAGCGAAACGCTTGTTTCTCAGAATTTGTTGAGGATGTCTCGAGTGAAACCCTTGTTTTGTGTTATAGATGGTTTTTTCCTGGGGACATGATTTCTGAGGATCTCTCAAGTGTATTGCTTGTTTTCACGTGCCCAGGTCTTGAGGATGTCTCGAGCGAGACGCTTGGTTTCACGCCTCCAGGTGGCCCAGACAGATGTCTAGCATGAGGATTTGTTGAGGATGCCTCAAACCAGAGGCTTGTTTTCACGTGTCCAGGTCGCCCAGGCGGATGTCTAGCATGAGTATTACCTAACAGCGAAGACTGATAGGTTTCTAGTTGACTCAAAAGAGCTCACAGATCACTCCACAGGGGGGTCCGGGCAGGCGTTGGGAGTTGCCGGGCGGCAGGGGGCCCCGCTCGTTTTTCACCAACAGTCACACACTTCGTGCTCTTCGAGTTCCCAGAACTCCATTCCCAGGCCACATTCTGGAGGGCCGGATGCAACAGTCACACACTTCGTGCTCTTCGAGTTCCCAGAACTCCATTCCCGGGCCACATTCTGGAGGGCCGGATGCAACAGTCACACACTTCGTGCTCTTCTTGCAACTTCCAACACAACTCCATTCCCGGGCCACTGGATCGCCACTTCGTGCTCTTCGAGTTCCCAGAACTCCATTCCCGGGCCACATTTTGGATGCCCGGAGCCAACTGTAGGCCACTTCTGTCTTCGAGTTCCCAGAACTCCATTCCCGGGCCACATTTTGAATGCCCGGAGCCAACTGTAGGCCACTTCGTGCTCTTCGAGTGCCCAGAACTTTATTCCTGGGCCACATTTTGAATGCCCGGAGCCAACTGTAGGCCACTTCGTGCTCTTCGAGTTCCCAGAACTCCATTCCCGGGCCGCATTTTGATGCTGATGCAGAGGCTGAGAATGGTGATGCTGATGCTGAGGCTGAGGCTGCAGGCTGAGGCTGAGGCTGAGGCTGAGGCAGGCTGAGGCTGAGGCCGAGGCTGAAGGCAGACTGAGGCTGAGGCTGAAGGCAGGCTGAGGCTGAGGCTGAGGCAGGCTGAGGCTGAGGCTGAGGCAGGAGGCTGATGCTGAGGCAGGCTGAGGCTGAGGCTGAGGCTGAGGCTGAGGCTGAGGCTGAGGCAGGCTGAGGCACAGAGGCTGAGGCTGAAGGCAGACTGAGGCTGAGGCTGAAGGCTGAGGCTGAGGCTGAGGCTGAGGCTGCAGGCTGAGGCTGAGGCTGAGGCAGGCTGATACTGAGGCAGGCTGAGGCTGTGACTGCGACTGCCGCTGCCACTGCGACTGTCATCGCGAATGCGACTGCGACTGCGAGAACAGCACAACTCTACAACTGGATTCTCATCTGAATCTTAAGGGGAATGCTTCCATATATGCTTCTACACATCGCTGTTAGGTTGCTTTGCCGGGATAATTTGTTGAGGATGCCTCAAACCAGAGGCTTGTTTTCACGTGTCCAGGTCGCCCAGGCGGATGTCTAGCATGAGTATTTGTTGAGGATGTCTCGAGCGAGACGCTTGTTTGCACGTGTCCAGGTTGCCCAGGCGGATGTCTAGCATGAGGATGTGCTGACAACGTCTTGAGCGAAACGCGTGTTTTCACGTGTCCAGGTCGCCC